CCATGTGAGTGGGATGACAGGTCTGTGCCACTGCACATGAGCCAGTGTGCCCAGCTACAAGAGGATTTTTATTAGCTTTATTTTATAAGAGAATACATTTCCCAATTTGTTACAAAGTCTTTGAGATGTGGACCACAGTGCAGTTCTTCCTTATGAATTGCGTGTTCACCCTGCATCAACCTGCTAAGGTTGAAGGAAACACAGCTAAAAGAGAATGAGAGAAAAGAGACTGGTTTTCATGTAGGATCTCTGCATTTTTACCTTCAAATAGACAAAAAAAGACTGGTTAAAGAAGACTGAAGTATCTGAAATACATGTGGTTAGAATTATTTTTTTTCTAATTGAAATTAGACCTAAAGGAAATGCTAAATTCCCCTCAGCAAAAAAAGACTTGGAAGTTAAATCTCATGCATATCAGAAGTGAGCTAAGGAGGTTCATTGAAAGCCAGCTCCCCGCCCCAACCTAGAAATACTTATGATCACTAAGGGGGAGATGGCCCCCATCTAACTTCTCTCTTTGTACCTCCTGCTCACCCCAGGCAGTACCTGAAATTGCCAATGATTCTACTGTAGATTAGGATTCAATTATATGAGAAAACAAACAAAGAGATATAGTAGGATAAAATCACATTTGAAACAATTATCTTAAATGTCAGTTTAGTTACTTGTTAGATATATATAGAAAAGCCCTCAGTGATGGTTAGCTGTAATGTTTACTTGTTTACTTATATATTGTGCCCTTGGGTATGTTTTAACCCTTGTCCTTATCAAATATTGTGGAAGACGCAGCACACTGGTGGTGATGGTGACCAGGGTGATTTACCTCTGTGTAACTTCCCTATAAAAAAGTCACTTGTGACATTGCACCTATTACAGGTACTGTGGTCATGGAGATTTCATTGCTTTTGCTGATCCGAAGCAATCCACACTTCTGCTGAGGGGTGTCTACTCCATTTGCTCCTTTTATACCTGCAGATGGTAACATGTGACTGTCAGACATGAAGCGATTATAGAACTATAAAGGCAGAAAACTTATAAAATAGGGGCATAATTCAACCAGGTTATGTACAAATGAACAGCACTAAGTGATAGACAATATGCTCTTAGACAGGGATTAAAAAATGAAAGACAAGCTGAGTTTTAAAATATTTTAAAATAATATCCTTACATGTATGTAAATTTGCTGCTTTATTTTCGCATTATTAAAGCTGACATGATAAAGTTGAACCACCAGATGCTTTTGCAAATAAAAAATGATAATGGGAATGGAAATATTGGGTAGTGTTCTCTTCATGCAGTAGTTTTTCATTTCTCTTCCTTCCCTTATTTTCCATTGCAAAATAAATGGTAAAACTTATCGTTTTCTCAGAGCTCTGAAGTTTGAAAGTGGATAAAATAGTTGATGAAGTAAGTGTGTGTGTGTGTGAGATCATTTAGGAACTAAAGACCTGCAAAGCTCAGCATTTCTGCTATGGTCCCCAAATCAGTCCTCATAAAAATAATGGCCCTTCAAAAGATGACCTGTGTTGTTTCTCAGCACAGCCCAGTCTCATTCAGATACTGAATGCATATGTGAAAATGAACATCATGGACAGGTGATGATGGTTTTGTAACTCACAGGCTCTAAGGATGGTCAATGCATGGTGACCCTTTGGCTGTACAATCAGAACACTGTACGTAGCTTGAGTGCAGTTCATGCCAGAAGGTAGGGGAAGGACGAGCATGAGGTGGAGAAGAAAACCTTGTGAGGAGAAGAGAAAATGAGCAAGGAGGACACACTTGTTTCCTCAGCTTAGGGTCTGAAGCTTCAGTGACCATGACTAGAAGGGACTGAGAGAAGATGTTCCCAGGTTAAACATGATCAGAATATGTGTGATCCTGACTGTGATCAGAATATGTGTGATCCTGACTGTGTGCACACACACAAAGACTGTCATCAGTTTTGGTTTAAAAAAATAAAAACAATATAACACAGCATCATATTTCTGTAGTAATTTATATTTACAAAGTACTTTAATATCAGGGATCATGGTGTCCCTTACAATCCTGTGAGATAATTAGCTATTAGTATGCTCTAATACTAATAGAGTATTACTCTATTAGAGTATTACTAGTTAGAGTAATGCTCTAATACTTGGCAGTTCTGGGGTTTGAACTCAGAGCCTTGTCCTTGCTAGGCAAATGCTCTACCACTTGAGCCATAACTTCAGCCTTAACCATCTTTTTTTTTTTTTTTTTTTGGTGAAAGGACAACTTTATTTTTTAATTGGTGGAGTCAGCCAGTTTCCTCTTTCTCCATTACTCCATTCTTCTATACCAACCAACAAAGCAGCTTTTATTAAAAGGCAACTGCATTAGTGCCACACAGCAGTGATTTTACATTTCCAAATATTGTTTGGCACATCACTAAATTGTGTATAGCATCACGTCCTTAAAACCCACCAGGTATCGTAGGTTTCCTGAAGCTGTGACATCCTAATGAGATACTCTGCTAATGCCACCATTTCCTGACTTTATCAGGAATGGCTGAAAGCTGTTGCTTTTTTGCATGTGAATACTATCCTTCCATCACAGATACAATCGAGTCACTGAAATGTGTCACGTTTGTTAGCAGGAATGCAATTATTAAAACAAACTATTGAACTGTGTGTGAACTCGAATGACAACTCGTAGTCCTATGATAGCACACAAGAATGTGCTGACTCATTTCTCCTGCACTTCTCCACATGTAGTTCCAAGTTAATTACTTTTCTAGCCCTATGGTGAACAAGAATGAAAATATCAAAGAAAGATGGCAAAGAAATACAGCTAAAGAATGAGGATGGGGAAAAAAATCCAAAATATTTCAGTGATTTCAACTGATAATGTATAAAATTCTCAGTGTACAGTGTTGGGATGCTGGGTTGCCTGATAACATCTCCTTTACCTTTTCCCAACTCTTCTTTGAAACAATTCTGAAAACATTAAAATAACAGAAAAGTTATGCAGTTTCAGGAATGTACCTGGGGCTCTTGCAGCTCGTTAGGTAGACCTTGGGGGATTTCACACTTACTGATTTATATGATCTTAGGACAGAATGGTAGAACTCAACAGGAAGATGTCAGGAGAGCACCTGCACCCTCGATGTGCACCCACCCCTTAGAAACCTGGGCTTCCCCTGAGCAGAAGAATGGGACATCACACTGCTGCCTTCTTCCTTAGGTAGCTAGAACTACTCCCAACGTCTGCTACATCTTCTGGACATTTATTTAGGACCACAGGGCTGGAGGTGCGACTCAAGCAGTAGAGCTCCTGCCTAGCATGCATGAGGCACTGAGTTCAAACCCCAGTGCTGCCAAAAACAAAAACATAACCCAAAGGGCCACCATATCCTATTGACATCTTCAAAATAATATAACAATATTAGTAGTACAGATTCTAAACTCAAATACTTGTCCACTTGCTAGCTGCATAAACTAGACTTGCTGCTCAACATCCTTACAAAAGGGTCATCATAAAGCCTTATCCTCAGGCTGCCTTAGTGTTAGAAATATCTTTAATAAACTGGGGTATCACAAAAGGGAGACAACACAACTCAGAATTCAACAGGCAAGGCAAACTTTACTTCTAAAGAAAGGTGCATTACAGACAAAGAGCAAGCACACCCCACGGGGAGTCCATTTAGGTTTTATCTCTAATGCAATGCTGCTCCCCACCCCCAAATTGGGCAGGTTTGGGGTTCACAGTCTACACAGTTGGCCAATTGGAGAGGACATCAGGAGGGAGCTTTGATAAAGAATTTTTAAAAGCTCAGGGAATTGATAATTCTTTTAGGTTATCAGCTGCAGAACCAAGGCATCTAGTGGAATTGTGTCTGGCTGAGGATAACAACCCTTTGTTTGTAATGGAAACTTTTATCACGTTAAGCAGAGTTCATGAAGTAAGCATATAGGAAGTGAGTTAGTGAGACTAACATTTGTCACAGTGGTGGGTACTGATTAAATCCTTTGGCAGAAAATACCCAACCTAGGTTTATTCTCACACTTAGGAATGAAAAGACAAAAATCCATATATAGTAGACTCCATACCTAACCCAAAGTTTTCAAATGCTCAGTAAGTATTTGTTGTTCAATTTGATAAGAATGGAATTGGGTTGATGGTATTCCATTCCATCTTGAAGAGCAAGGTTGGAAGGAGGAAGGGGAAGAGGGAAGAAACTGTGGGAACATTTTCCATTGAGGGTTGAAGAAGTCCACACACTGTCCTTCACAGGGACTATACGATATAAGTATCTCTATAGATCATCCAAGAATAAATCTTCCCCCACATAGAAACCTGCAAGTGGAGGATGATGTTATGTGCAGAAAACACCCCATTTGTCCAACCTTCAGATGGACAGTGTTGGCCACTAGGAATTCTCCAAACTGTTTACTGGATCAAATTATGGACTCTTCAAGTCAAAAGATAGAACAATAACTATATATATATATACATCTTTAAGATACTGGGAAGTCATGAAAGAGAGATGACACAACTCAGAAGTCAACAGGCAAGTCAAAATTTACTTCTGCAGAAGGGTGCAGAAATAAACATATATATATGTATATATATAACATATAAACATATATATGTACACACACATATATATGTATATATATAGAGAGAGAGAAAGAGAGCGAGTGATGAGAGTGAGAGAGTGTGTGTGGATCAAAAAGGAGGTTTGTGTTTATGGTTCATTCCAAAGAATAAAAGATTTTTGAATAAATTTGAATATTTTTAAAAAGGATATCTTAGAGAAAGAAACTAAAGTAGCATCTCCTTGTATTTGCCCCAAACACCAACATATGCCCTATTCCTTGTCCTCCTAGCTCTGTTACGACATTATGAAACATTTTCAGCCACATACTTTACATTACACATGGTACTGAGGACTGTACAAATGGGGGACATAATGATTTTTAAAGCTCTTAATAATGATACTCCTCATTTTACCATTTTTCTACTGTTTCTGTTCCAAACAGGAGCTGGTGGTTGGACCCCACTTGTGTCAAATAAATATCAGTGGCTGCAGATTGACCTTGGAGAAAGAGTGGAGGTCACTGCTGTGGCCACCCAGGGAGGATACGGGAGCTCCGACTGGGTGACCAGCTACCTGCTGATGTTCAATGATGGCGGGAGGAACTGGAAGCAGTATCAGCAAGAAGATAGCACTTGGGTATGTTTTCTAAAAGTAGTAATTACTACCTGTTGCTGTGCACCTGTTCCAAAGACATGTTTTCATCCCGCATAACCGTATGTATTTGGGGGCACAGTGTGATGCTTCAACACATGTATGTATCCATTGTGTAATGACCAATCAGGTATTAGTCTGGGTGAGGATCGTTTGATAAAACCGCAAAAGCAGAGGCCATGAAAGCAAAAGTGGACAAATCCAGATCTTATGAAACTAAAAATCTTCTGCATAATTGACAGAATGAAGAGAGACCCTAAAGGATGGGCGAGCCTGTAATCCTGGCTACTCAGGAGGTAGAGATCAGGAGAATCAGGATTTGAAGCCAGTCCAGACAAATAGTTTGTGAGACACTGTCTTGAAAAAGCCTATCACAAAAAAGGGCTTGTGGAGTGACTCAAGTGGAAGAGCACCTGCCTAGCAAGTTTGAGACCCTGAGTTCAAATCTCTAATACCACCAAAAAAAAAGGGAAAAAATAATTGCAGACTATACATCTGATGAGAACTAGAATCTGAAGAATCCCTTGGACAAAATTTTCTAAGTGAAAGTAAGGTGCCTACTTGAAAGAAAACATTGAAAGACCCTCTTGTTATTATACCCTTAAGTAATGTGGAGGTTTAAGAATAATGCACGCTATATATAATTTATGATCTCTTCTTTTGCTTAATAAAATGACTTAGTATTGACTCTGCATTATTTAACATGAGTAGTTTGAATTCATTTTTTAATTTTCTCTGATTTAATCTTGTATTTCTAAAACATGGCAAATTTAAAATTGTAGAAATGGGCAATTTCTCTGTGTGTGACAAGTTCAGGAATACAGACTTTGAACTTGAGAATTGTGTGCTTTCTAGTATACAGCCGTATTGAGTAATTCATGGGCTGTAGACCTCAGTGAGTCTGGAGTACCTTAAATTTCCACAGCAGTGACATCATCTCTACATCTGATTATGTGTGTAGCTTCTTTGCACAAATCACTTTTTGTTTAATTTTTAGAAATATTGTAACTGTATTTAGTTTATTGAAATATGTTTACTACGTAATGTTTGGAAGTAACTCAAATGTGTTTAAAATCTTGTTCTGCATTGATTAATGATATTTAAAATGTTGAGGTCAGCTTCCCTATAAATGTGATCCAAAAGAAAAATCTTATAAACTCTTGTATTTGTAATTTACCTCTCTTCATCCCTCATAAACACATAAATGATGGAAGGACTGGACTACACACGTTTGTTGTTTAGTTAAGCAGTTCAGAGGGAAGCCATAACTAAAATAATAGCATCCACCTTGCTTTTCGTCCTTGCTCTAAAGGATCCTATACCTACTGCCTATGCAGAAATAGTGTAAAGAATATGGTCCTTATTAATTCCAAACAATGAAAGTAACAACAGGTGCCATCCAGTCCCATTACCTGTAGCAGTGTGCTGGGTGTCACTGGAATGAGTGGTTCACTTTCCCAACAACCCATCACCTTGGGTCTTCCTCTAATTGTCCCTGTGTCTCTCTGATCCCAGCATCTCTGTTAGAGATTGAATTATGGCCTCAAAACAGATAGGCTGCTAACCTCCAGTACCTTGGAGACTTTATTGGAAATCAAGTCTTAAAAGAGGTAAAATGGGGTTGGTAGAGCTGTCCCTCATCCCGTATAAGTCATATACTCATTAAAGGAGGATATTTGGAGACAAAAGCAGACAGACACGGAGAGAACGCCCATGAAGAAGGAAGATTGGAAGATAATCTAGAAGCCAAGGAACACCTGTTGCAACCAGAAGATGGCAGGGAGCAGTCCTTCCCTAGAGTCTGAAGAGGCTGCATGGCCCTGGGGACCCCTTGATTTTGAAATTCTGGCCTCCTGAACTTTAGTTGCCTAGTTGTGCTTTGTTATGGCAGCTCTAGGAAACTGACATAGTCTCTATAGCTCAATTGTAGAGGCTAGATTTGAAACACTAACTGAATGAATGAGCAAAAGTCATTCCCTCCCAACTGTGCATCTTAAGGACTTGTTTGAATGAAAGTCATAACACATTATGGTGTGAGGGTTTGAGACTCTCCCACCATTTAAAGCTAAATGATGTCTGAGGTAGGGCTTAATCATTGCTACTCCATCCTTTAGCCAGGACTGCTAAACAGTCACCATTTACTGGATTCCTTTCCTATTCTGTGACTGACTGCATAGAATTTTTTTGGTGAACAAAATGTTAATGCTACTGAAGAGATGGAACACACAAAACAACCCAAAGATGATTATTGTGAGCATCAGCTATGAGACACAGACCCCCAGAGACTTGAGAATGATGTGGGGTTTAGACGAGCCTTGAAGAAGGTGTTATGATGGGAAGTGTTAGAAAGTAATTAAGGAAGATCTCTCCCGAGGCAGAAGTAATGTGAACAAAGCATGGATAATGGATGAGATACAAAAACAAAACAAAACAAAACAATGAGATGTAAGATGACTGGATAGACTGAAGTGGAAAATATGAGGACTTTGACAAAGTGATAAAATTGCAAAAAGCAAGTGTCTCGTTTGGATATAAACAACTGTGCCGATGTTAAAGCATCTTCAAGTACCACATCAGCATCTCAGGGAACTTCTCTTCTTTCACTCATTCTTTTATCAAATAAGTATGGTAGAGTTCAGTAACATGCTCTTGGAAAATATCATACTTGTGACGAGGTAGATCCCTTCTGTCTATCACAGCTACTTCTTCCAGAAATAAAGTTCACTCATCGGTGGTCTTATACTTATCATTTTCCTAAAGGGATGTGCTGACATTGGTACTTCTGCAGTCTTATCATTGATGCTTTAATAATAAATTACATATCCTATGAGAGCTTTTGTCCTTTTCCTAGGCATAATTTTAGATATGAATAGTTGGGGTTAAAATGAGTTAACTTAAAGAGATTTATTTTTGATTCCTAGAAATATTAGCACTATTAAGAAAAACTGCATGTGTTATGAAAGTATCACCTTTCCCAGCACAAATTGCTGCCATGTCTCCATCACCTGCCTTAGATTCATTGCATTAATTTTTCTCCACCACAAGAACAGAAGGCCTTCCCAGCTCTCCTCTAAGGAGCCCACTTCTTTCACTTTCATGTTAAGGACATATTAAAAATTCATTCTCCAGCCTTATGTGTTTCTTGGATGCTATCCTCATGGTATTTTTAATGACTTTTTAATTTTTTTTGTCTTGGTGTATTCATTATCCACACTAATGTTTTCTATTATTAAACAGTTGCTTATCTGTAGTTCTTAATTCCATAAACAAATTTATTAAAACGATAATGCCCAAGCAGACACAAACTCATTTAGCAGCAAAACCTGGATATAGTGACTTTGGGTGGTTTGCATTGTTTATTTAAAGTGCTTAATGTGAATATCTGTATGTTTTATTTAAAAAAAAGTAATGTATATGATTTCCCCCTAGTTACTAATACTTGATTTATGTACAGTATAACCTTTCTAAAATATAAAAATATCTGAATGTGAAATAAACCGTGTACCAAGGCTTTAAACAGGGAGATTACACCTGTCATATCAATATTGGCTTTTCTGACATTATCTGAATAAAGTAATATCTTAATATAAATTCTTATTATACATCTCACATTGACTGCCTTAAGGGCTGGTCTGAATCTGTAATAGAAAGTAACCATGAAAAGTAGCAGTAATTGATAGATTTAAAAATTTTTCCGAGTAACAAAAGCTGTGCTCAAAAGAAAGTATGCCTGTTACTTAAACAGGAGTATATGAATCTTTTCCAAATAACAAAAAAAAATCCTCAGTGTGTATTCTATTTTCAGTTTACCAAATAGATTTCAAGACATGAGTTCACATGGTGGAAAAAGTAAATATCCGTGTCTGATACAGCATTTGCACAGGTGCCATTATTAAAAGGTCACATGATAAAACTGATGAATGTTATTTTCTGGGAGAAGCTCACAATATTTTTTTTCTTACCATTTGTATTAGTAGGAATATCTTAATGAAAACAAATGCTCAGAATCAGGAAAGAGAGGAAAAAATATTTGGTGCGAGAAAACAGTATCAAAATCTCTAAGAGATTATATGATAACATCCCACAGGCAGAAATAGCGGATTAGTGACCACGGACAGGCCCTCCTCCTTTGGGTCTATTTTTCACTTATGTCTGTGAGAATACAGAATCAACTCTGTAAGGAAATAGATAACATTTTCATTCATCGTGAAGTGTCCTATAGGCTGTGATTGGATATATTTCGATTGTTATCCCATCTAATAGAGGCTTCAGGCTCGCCTCTAAACATTAGACTCTTTTCTCTTTGGTTGTTAAATACACAAGAAAATTAGCATGCTCCAATACAAATTCTTTCTTTTCACCCTGTCCCCACTACCAAACCTATCTCCCCCAGGTTCTCCCTCTTAGTAAATATCACAGCATTTAGCAGCTCCTGAGCCCAACCCTTGGAGTCAACCAGGACCTCCATTCCTTCACACCCCACAACCCATCCAATGGCAAATCCTGTCACTCATAATTCTTATACAGATCATGTCAGATATCTTGTCACAGTCCATGTTGAATCTGACAGCCTTTCATCCCTTCCATCATTGCCACCATAGCTCGATATCCATCCTGACCCTGGACCATTGCCATAGCTTCCTATTCACAGTCCGTTATTGGCTTCCAATGCAGAAGTTTATTTTCCTGAATTCTTTCTGTAAATTTCCATGTATTTTTTGCACCATAGGAATATAGTTGGCCTCAATCACAACATTGACTGCATTCTTTGCTTATTTCTGGCTCCACAATATTTTATGCTGTCTCATCCTATCTCTTTAAGAATGTCAAATGAAGTCTATCTTTTGTATCAGCTCTTCTAAAATATATTCCTAGGTAATTTTGCATACATAGCCTCCTCAATTTTTCTCAGACATTTTAGAATGCATTCTAAAATACATGGAGTTGTTCTAGACAGCCTTGTAGACAGTCCCCTCAGTGCTTGT